ACTCACGCCCGTGCTGCCGAATGCTTGGTCACCAGAATTCAGTATGGGGGGATGGGGGGGCAGAGTCAAAGGTTCCACTTTCTTGTCCACCTACTGGGGAGACAAAAAGGTACCGATGCCGCTGCCCCCCGGACCTCTCCCGGGGCCCCCAGCGCCGCCGAGGCCCCTGCGTGCCAGGGGCGCTGCCCCCCTGTCCCAACGGGACCCCCCGCTGGGACGGTGCCGGGGTGCGTCCCGGTAGCGCTGGCCCCACGGGGATCAGTGGCTCGTTCGGGCTAATTCCTCTTGGCTCTACCCAAATCGTCCGACACCGGATTGTTTCGGAAGCGGTTTGTATGCGCTCGTCGATTTTCGGTCGCGACCAGATGCCGGATGTTTCGGTCGCGTCGGAAGCAGCAGCACCATCATCTTCAACAGTGCCATCAGCATTTGCAGCATGCCGCTGGTGCAATAGTCATCACGAGTACCACAGGTAGTGTCACAACATATCAAAACACTGATGAGATATACACCTGAAAATTATACGTGATGCATGGTTGACGCGCACTACATACATAACTCTATATGTGTGTATATATATATATATATGCATGTGCTAATCCTACTGGAAACGTTTCCTTACGTTTCCGGACGTTTCGTGACGTTTGCTGGACGTTTGCCGGAAATTTGACACGTCAGGCTAAATTCTGGCAAAAGTCATTAAGCGTCAGGAAACGTAAGGAAACGTCAGACCACACCATGAAACGTCAGGAATACCCTCAGCATGTACAGCATGCCGCTGGTGACACCATCATGACCATCATCAGCAGCATCACTATCTTCATCGCCCACCACACGCATCATGATCAGCGCGACAATCAAGAATAGTATCACCAGCACCGCAATCATCCCCGATGCCATCATCGCGGTCGTCAGTGCCATCAGCGTCATCATCGGAGTCATTGACACCATAAGCACATCAGCGTCATCATCATCATCATCCGCATCATGATTAGACCATCATCATCATCATCATCATCATCATCATCATCATCATCATCATCATCATCATCATCATCCAGATCAACATCAGCATCATCATTACCTTATTCATCATCATCATCATCATCATCATCATCATTATCATCATCATCATCATCATCATCATCATCATCATCATCATCATCATCATCATCATCATCATCATCATCATCATCATCATCATCATCATCATCATCATCATCATCATCATCATCATCATCATCATCATCATCATCATCATCATCATCATCATCATCATCATCATCATCATCATCATCATCATCATCATCATCATCATCATCATCATCTTTAGCACCATCAGCATCGTAATCATCATGATCGTCCTCATCATCCTAATCATCGCCATCACCGTCATCATCATCGTCGTCATCATCACCATCAACATAACCATCATCCTCACCACCCTAATCGCTGCAATACATTAAGCCCATCAAGGAGAAAATCGGTAGCGCCGAAACAACTCGGTAGCACCGATCGAACTTCGGTAGCGACGACGCGCTCAAGCCCGTAAGCGCTGAAACCAAGTTCGGTAGCGCGCAAGCGGCTTTCAAGCGCAATTTCGATCGTGCATGCAATACGCTCGATACCGGTTTTGAGCGCTGGTTTTCCGCATTTCGGTCGCGACTAAATCCTGTGAAGCGATACCGGGAACGATCGGCATCGGATGACCCGGGCAGGAGACCCGCGGAATTGGGCTCACCGCCCCGCACGTAGGCTCACGACGGCACCCAGCGCCGCCGAGGCGCCTGCGTGCCAGGGGCGCTGCCCCCCCGTCCCAACGGGACCCCCCCGAGGGGGCGCCCAGAGGACGAGACTCGGCCCAAACCTTTGGGACTCCCCCCCGGGACCAAAGGCCGGGACGGCGTCCAGCTGGGGGGCCTCGCATCCAGGTGCTTCCCCGGGTCCCGCGCGGGCCCCACCCCCTTGGTCTTGTAGGAGGAGGAGGAGGAGGAGGAGGAGGAGGAGGAGGAGGAGGAGGAGGAGGAGGAGGAGGAGGGGGAGGAGGAGGAGGGAGGAGGAGAGGAGGAGGAGGAGGAGGAGGAGGAGGAGGAGGAGGAGGGGGGGAGGGGGGGAGGAGGAGGAGGAGAGGGAGGAGAAGGCCAGCCTTGTGGCCCACGTCTTGTTCCTTCCAAGGGCCCTCCCAGGGCCGAGGCCGAGGCCCGACCCGAGGCCTGGGCCCTGGCCGCGGGCCCCCCCCGCCCCCCCAGGGCCAGCAGAGGCCAGGGCGGGCGCCCACGGGGGGGGAGGGCGCGGGAGCGTCGGGGACCTCCGGGGATGGGCTACGGCTGTGTCCCCGGGTGGACGAGCACCTCGGAACACCTCGGGACACCTGTCCCGCGAGCACCCGCGCCCTCCGCGAGCATTCCGAGCACCCGGGTGTCCCCGGGTGGACGAGCACCCGCGCCCTCCCCCCCCCCACGCCTCGGGCTATGGCTCCGTCGAGCACCTCGGAGTGGCAGGTGTCCCCGAGTGTCCGCCAGGTTGGGGGCCTGAGGATCTTGCGATTCCTGGTAGCCCATTCGTTCGGTCTTCGGGGGGGGGGAGGGCGAGGGAGCGTCAGGGACCTCCTGGGATGGACAGGACCTCCCTTTCGTAAAACGTGGTTTCGTGGCAACGACCTGAGGCCCAAACCTGGCGGGCGCAAGCCTGGAAAATAACGGCCGCGGCGCCCTCTCGAGAGCCGAAAACGGACAATTCACTAATCGACGGTTCTTTGTTGGGGGTTCTGTCCGCCCCCGAGACCTCCGGGCTTGGTAGCCATATAGGTGTCCCCCGAGTGTCCGCCAGGTTGGGGACCTGAGGACCCTGAAGCCCGCGAGTGACCCGAAGCGCGAGAGCCTCGTGGGGCGAGGGGGCGTCGGGCTAAGCCCTCCCTGGGCACGCAGAAACGCCCACCTCCCCAAATGTTGCATGGTGTGGCCGGATCCTCATATTGGCGCATGAATGCACGTCCTCCCGTGGAATCACCCTGCAACTGCCAGTGGCACCACTCACGCACTAGCTTCAATGCGGCCACTGGCCTTTCGATTCGGCCATCTGGCTACTTGAAGGATGTGGCCCATTGTCGTCCAACTACTGGTTCCTGGCGGAATCGACTTACCGCGAGCTGCTCAACAGTCTCCAGCAGCTCGCCGGGGACCGCTTCGTCCCTTAAGATGGGTTTGGGTTCCCCTTTCCGCCTATAGCGAGCTTGGTAATCTTCCCCCGCCCACCCCACCAAAGACGGCTCCCCCTTCAGAGATCCGATGTCGTGGTTTTTCAACACGGGGTCCGCGGAAGTCTCGGCCCATTCCTGGGACCAGTTTTTCATCCTGACCCGTTTGTGACGGTCCTGGGACCCAGCGAGGGACCCTGGAGGCCGAAAACTACACAAAAAAATCCGTCCAGATGATTGTCAAAACGTTGGATCTCTGGGCCCTCTCCCCTTCTGGGCTCCTCTGGCCCCCGCCGAGGCCGACCCCATAGGGCGCGCGGGGAGGAAGGATATTGAGCAGGGACCGACCTTGCCGGCATTCCTATAGGCGTACCACGACATGTTCTTAGAACCCCCAAAAATACACCAAGAACAAAAATAAGCCATGTCCTCAGAACACAGACCAGAAATGTGGATTTCTGCGTGCATTTCTGCCCGAAGCGGCGAGCGAAAAACGAAGTGAATTTCGCGTGGATTTGTTTTAGTCTGCGTTCCTGGCCAAACAAAAACCCGCGCGGAAGTCACCTCGAAATCCGGAACGAAATTCTCCAGGACACTCCGGGCCCACCATGCCGTTTTCCGAACGAAAGCCGCTCTGCGATGCTGGCACCGCTAAACATTCTGTGGCGGGCCTACAATTAAGTCGGGCGTGTCCCCCTACAGGGGGATCTTGAGCGAAAGATTAAAGATATTCAAAAAATACGAAGAAATGATCAAACAGATAATGAAAAGTCGTCCCCCAGACTATTTTGGGACTATTTCTGAATATTCCTTCTGTGGAGGGACAGGCCCGACGTAAGCCTATAGGCAAGCCAGGGGGCGCCTCGCCACTGCTTCATCTGCGGTGGACAAACCTCCCTCTAGCACACCTCCCTTTAGTGACAACGGCCCGGGACCGAAACCGACGGACCTGGACCCGCAAAAAATGACGGCCGCGACGCCCTCCCGCGAACCGAGAACGGCAAATTCGCTAATCGACGTGTCAGGGTACAGTCGGGGCGCTGACCTAAGGAACTCTAGATAAGAAACGAAGCCCCTTTTTCCCCTGAGTTAAACTTCGATTTCCCATGGAAAACCTAAGGGAAACTGCAAAACAATCGAGGAACACCGAGCCCCTCCCCAACGAGAAGGGTTCCTTTTTCAGCGCCCCGACTGTAGGAGGTCTGTCCACCTCCGACGGGTGGGCCCCCGGGCAGGCCAGGGCGCCTCTCGCCACTGCGTTACACCACGGGCCCCGCGCGAGGCGGCCAAGGTCCTGGGGCAGGGCCAGCGCCTCGGCCGCGGCGCCCCCCGCCGGGGCCTCGCCCAGGAGCGCCGCGCAGAGCGCCGCGGCCGCCGGGCGGCACTCCCAGGCGAGGGCCTCGGTGAGGTCGGGCGGGTCGACCTGCGGCGCGAGAGGGGGCGGGGAGCGCGAGGGGGGCGGGGGAGACGAGGAGCGCGAGGAGCGAGGGGGAGCGAGGGAGCGCGAGGGAGCGCGAGGGAGCGCGAGGAGCGGGAGAGGGGGGGGGGGGGGTGGCGGGGGGGAGACGAGCGGAGGAGGGGGAGGGAGGGAGGGGAGCCCCCAAGCGGAAAGGGGGGGGGGGGCGTCGGGCTGTCCACGGGCCGAGGAGCGAGGGAGGGAGCGAGGGAGAAGGCAGGGAGGGAGGGGGAAGAACGATACGCGGGCGAGGCGGACGCAACCCCTATTTAGGCGTCCTGGGCTTCAAGAATGGATCCGGCACGCCGAGAACCCATCGCGTGTTGCCCGAGACCTCCAGGGTACACGATGCTGTGAGGAACTGTTGGAGCTACGGTGCTGCAAGAAGCTATCTAAACTGCGTGGCTCCAGTCAGCGAGATGAAGGCCAGGCATCTCTCAGCGATTGTACACAACATTTGAGACCACCCCCTGCACCTTCACGAGAAGAGGCCAGCACGGAGTGAGCACCAGGGGCTCCACCGATAGCTCCATGAAGAGGGTAGTAGTTGACCTCCCCTTGTCGTCTCAACTCCGAAACCGCTTACATGCATAGCCGATCCAAACACCAATGCGCCACGCTAAATATAACACCGCAATCGCATTCACACACGGTGCGTTCCCTTGGACCCAGCCGCTCGCGCGCTTCGGACGGCGCGAGGGTGCTGCAGAAACAAGTTCTGCACAAGAGGCAGATACCACTCGATCAGAAGTCGGGGCGCGGCGTTGTCGCGTTCGGCAAGGGTGGCTGCTGGCCGCGTCCGGAGGGGGGGGGGGAAGCGAATTCGGAGGAGAAGGAGACAAGCTCGCGGGGGGGGGGGGTGGGGGTGAGCAAATTATCGAGCTCCCATCGGCGACACATCGCCGCTAGATCGAGGATCGGCTGGGCCCCTGGTAGCGAAGCCGCGCGTTCCTCGGCGGGCTGGGAAGCCCAGCCCCCTTACAGTCGGCCATGCTTGGACAGGACACGCGAGAGGACAGAAGACCCTTCCGGGGGCCACGTTGCCACAGAAATGCAGGAGGCATGGGTCGCAAGACACAGGACAACGAGGGTACCCTTGATCTGGCAGGGTCGACCTGCTAATCTGGGCCGCCTGTACCGGCGGTGAATGGGCGAGTGGGGGTCCACGCTTCCCGCCTGCGCAGGTCCTCCCACCCCCGGGCGTCCCCCAGCCCAAGGGCCTCGGTGCGCCGAGACTGCGCGCAGGAGTTCTCCCGGGCCCCTCGCCCTAGGAGAGCGCGCGGAGAGCTTGGAGATTACATAGCTCCAACCGCCGACCGGCTAAGATAAGCAGACGACGACCGCAGCCGAACAGCCAGAGTGCGAGTGCGTGCGCTCAAGTTTTTTGGAGACACCCGCCCCGACAGCTAGAAACAGCGAAGCAGCCGAAGACGCCGTCAGAAGATAGACGAAGCGAGACAGCCGAGGAGGCGGATGACGGCACGACGACGACGCAGCTGCAGCAGAAGACGGACGCCGCCAGCAGACGCGCGGCCGCCGACGACGCCCAGAAGCCGCAGCGCCATCCCGCAAGACGCAGCAGCCGAAGGGCCTACCGCAGCCCCGCCGCCCGCGCGCCTCAGCTCCTCCTCCTATCCCGCCGCCGCCGCCGCAGCCTCCCTTCCTCCGAGCCGCCGCCTCCGGCCGCCTTCTCTCCTCCTCAGCATCATGAATATCCGCCCGATCCCTACCCAGGCCTTCCTACCAGTCCTAAGCCTGGCTTCCTCCCTTCTCCTCCGCCTACCTCCGCCTCCTCCCCCTCCTCCTTCCGCCTCCTCCTCTCCTCCTCCTCCTCCCCTTCCTCCTCCTCCTCCTCCTCCTCCTCCTCCTCCTCCTCCTCCTCTCCTACCTCCTCCTCCCTCCCCTCATCCTCCTTCCTCTCCTCCCCAGTCCTCCTACAGTCTCTCTCCTCCTCTCCCTCCTCCTCCTCCTCCTCCTCCTCCTCCTCCTCCTCCTCCTCCTCCTCCTCCTCCGCCTCCTCCTCCTCCTCCTCCTCCTCCTCGTCGGCAGCACGTTCGGGAGGAGGGGGGGCGGGGCGATGAGCAGGGACCCACGAGGGCCGAGGGTGCTCCCAAGGAGCTCCAAGACAGCCTCCAAGGGACCCCCGAAAGCGCTCCAAGAACCTCCCAGGAAGCAGCCCCGAAGAATCGGACGCGGAACCCAGGCACGGTGGCGGGATGGGCCGAAGGCCATGAGGTCCGCCGCCCCCTGTCGATTGATCGCAGGGGTGCCTGGCGTGCCGAATCAATCCTATCGGTTTTGGTTTTGGTTTTTTTCCACAAGAACTCCCCCTGGGGCTCCGGCGCGTCCCGCCGGCCACCCAGAAGGATTGCCCAGAGGTGGTTGCCGAGGGTTTTCCTGCTCCAGAAAGCTCCAAGATGGCCTCCAAGATGCTTCCAAGACGGTCAAGATGGCTTCCAAGACGGCTGAGATGGCCCCAAGATGCCTCCAAGACGGCCCAAGATGCACCCAAGACGGCCTAAGATGGCCTCAAGATAGCCCAAGACGGCCCAAGAGGCCCCCAAGAGGCCTCCAAGACGGCCCAAGAGGCATCCAAGAGGTCCTCCGGGAAGGCCCGAAGAGGCGAAAATCATTGATTTTCTGCTGGTTTTTGAAGGATTTGGGCATTTGCGCCTTTTCGGCTTTCCGACGGCTCAAGACGGCCCAAGAGGCCCCCAAGATCGCTCCCACAGCGCCCAAGAGGCCTCCAGGATGGCCTCAGGACTGCCCAAGAGGCCCCCAAGACGGCCCCAAGAGGGCACAAAGATGGCCCAAGAGGCCTCAAAGACGCCCAAGATGGCCTCTAAGACGGCCCTGGAGCACCCCAAGAGGGCCCCAAGTCGGCCCAGAAAGGCTCCCCGAACGTCGTCCGACAGCGTCAGACGGGCCAGGAGCCCAACAAGATGGCCGAAGTTGGCTCGAAGCTGGCCCAAGACGGCCCAAGAGGCCTCCAAGAGGGCCTCCAGGAAGGCCAGAAAAAGGCCAAAAACACTGTTTGTCCGTAGGTTTTTGAAGGATTTTGACATTTCCTTCGATTCGGCCTTCCGACGGCCCGATACGGCCCAAGAGCCCCCAAAAAACGCCCAAAGATCGCCCAAGAGGCCTCCAAGATGGCCCCAGACCGGCCCTAGAGGCCCCCAAGACGGCCCCAAGAGCCCCCAAGATGGCCTCCAAGACGGCCCTGGAGCATTCCAAGAGGGCCCCAAGTCGGCTCAGAGAGGCCCCCCAAACGGCTTTCGACGGCGTCGGACGGGCCAGGGGCCCACCGGTACGGCCCAAGTGCCCCCAAAAGATCGCCCAAGAGGCCCAAGACGGCCCCAAGAGGCCCCCAAGACGGCGCAAGAGGCCTCCAAGACGCTCAAGATGGCCTCCAAGACGGCCCAAGAGCCCTCCAAGACGTCCTCCAAGAAGGCCCGAAAGGGTTAAAATGGCCTCCACGCGGCCAAGATAACTGTCAAGATGCCCACGTGTTCCCCGAAGGCTTCCCAAACCGATTCGGGGAACACATGGTCCGATAGCTTGGCAGGTCTGGCCTCAACGTTCGGCCACATAGGCGCTTCAAAAAAGGCAGGGGGCCGCGGTGATTCGCCGTAGGCGTCTTCGATCCGCCGCCCCCTGTCGATTTATCGGAGGGGTGCCTGGCGTGCTAGATTATTTCGGTGTTGGTTTTGGTTCTGTTTCCAAAAGAACTTCCCCGAAGGCTTTCCAAACCGACTCGGTGAACACATGGTCCGATAGCTTGGCAGGTCTGGCCTCAACATTCGGCCACATAGGCGCTTCCAAAACGGCAGTGGGTGGCGGTGACTCGCCGTAGGCGGCTTCGATAACACATACACCACGTCGGCGGCATGTTCGTTGGGAGGGGGGGTGGGAGGCGAGGCGAAGAGCATGGAACAGGACAATTCCAAGAAGGCCCCAATACGGCCTGGAGGGGCCCCCAAGACGGTCTCCGAAAGCGCCAGACGGCCCAAAAGCCCTGGAAGACAGCCTCAAAGGGCTCCAGAAAGCTTTCCTAAGAGGTCCAAGAGGGCCACAGCCCCTCCATGAGCTAGCTGCTCAACCATAGCACGCTGACCCAAGTCGTCACCGACGGCCGACTATCAATGCGTTGCGCCGAAGACAGGCCTGCAGATCCCTGCCTCGAGAACGGCGAGCATGTCCGTATCCGCGCCCTCGCGGTCTGGAGTATGGGTCGCCATCCCGCAGATACGCGCACGCACAGGTACGCTCCGCGCGGTCATCCGCGAACACAACGCCTCGTACGTGCAGGGTCGCGACCCCAGAGGCCTGGCCCGCGAGCCCGCGGGTGCGGATATCTCTGCGCTCACGGCTGCCCGCGTGTTCCGCCGTGTCGTTCCGGCAGCAGGCTGGAGGGAGGGGGGGCACGGCGATCGTTATACTTCTCGCTCTTACCATCCACGGAAGGGTCAGCTCCTCGAGCAAGGGCGCACACCTTCTGCCAGCACGCCTGGAGTATCTGGCCACGCTAGGCGTGTCCACAAAGGCGTTGGGCTGCGGTGACAAGCTGTAGCCGCCTTCGATCAGAAGGACATTTCTCATATGGCCTGCCGCCTACTCTGAGCATCGCGGGGGGGAACACCCTGCAAACATGGCAGCACTCCTCACAGCTGAAATCAAAGCCGTAACATCTGCAAGCGCGGGACGGCAAGTCTGACGCTGTGGCTGACAGGAGGAGGACCAGAGTAGGGAAGAAGAAGAAGAAGAAGACTCGGCAATGCGCTGCATGTCTGATATCCCATGCCTGCTGCTGCTGATTGAAAATGTACAACATAGCACCTCTGACAATCGCACGCTCGACAGAAAACGCTCGAGGTCAGGGTAAAATGCACAGCGCAGCCCCGCAATCGAACGAGTGCAACACCGGTCGCAATCGTGAAACCCATGCGAGCGGGAGGCGAAAACCGAGCAAGAGGAGGAGGAATCAGACGACGAGGATGAGAAGGATGAGGGGACGTCGCCACCCCCCCCCCACGTCAGGGTTGCTTCTGTAGTGGTCGTGGCGGTCACGGTCGTCACGATCCCCGCCTCCAACGATAGGACTGTTATGTTGTAGGAGATGTTGCCGAGATGGACACTGAACGTGGCAGTCAATTCGCTTACCGGGGTGGAAGTAAGCTTGTCCAGCGTATTCGTCGCGTCCTCGGGCACACGAACAAGTGAGCTCAAGATGATGATCATAGCGAAGTAAGAAGGGAATCTAGTGGGTGCGCGAGAGATGAGCGAGGGGAAGGAGAGGGAGAGAGCGAGAAAGAGAAGAAAGAGAGAGCGAGAGAGAGAGAGAAAGAGAGAAAACACAGAGAGAGAGAGAGAGAGAGATAGACAGAGCGAGAGAGAGAGAGAGAGAGAGAAAAAGAGAAGAGAAAGAGAGAGAGAGGGAGAGATAGAGCGACAGAGAGAGAGGAAGAGCGAGAGTGAGAGAGAGAGAGAGAAGAGGAAGAGAAAGAGGAAGAGGACGAGGAAGAGGAAGAGAGGAAGAGAAAGAGAGAGAGAGAGAGAGTATCGGGGGCATGCCGGGCGTCCGTGGGATTTGCGCTCGGCTGCAGTACCCCCTTCCTGCCGAAACATGGCCATTCCGATTCGGATTCGAGACCGTGTGGCGGTTCCGGTGCAGCCAAGGGCAACTAAGCAAAATGCATGAACCTCGGAGCGGGACGCCGTTATCAGTCAGGCAAGCTGAAGGGACGACCGAGCTCCATGGTGTGGGCGACTCCCACACTCCTTCTCCATCCCTTTTTCTCCCTCCCGCTCCCCCCTCGTTCTCCCCCCTCTCCCATCCCCGACCTCATCCCCCTCCCTCCTCGTCCCTCACTGGCCGGTCTGGCGATCGATCAATTAAGGAGACCATGAAACCATCTCCTTTCGCCACAGCGCGGTTTGCGCCACAACGGACAGCGGAAGGATGCTTCCGACTTGTTGTTCCTCTTCCCACGAGAGGGAGGGAGATTTGGGTGACCCAAGAGGGGGTCCAGCTGAAAGGGGGTGGTGCACTAGATTTGGGGCAATTGTATTGCAAATGTCTTGAGCCAGAGGACTGTATTGCACTGTATTGCAACGAATGCATTGCACGCAAAAGTCCAGCAATACATTTGCGCCCCGGAATGTATTGCACGCCCCAAATGTATTGCAACCCCGCAAATCGATTGCACGAAATCTATGGCACCAGCCCCTTGTCGCTGGACCCCCTTTTGCGTCAAACCGAGAAGTGTATACCATTTGTTTGAGGGCACACGGGGCAAATGAGGGGGAGGTGGAGGAGGGGGAGGAAGGGGAGGAGGAAGAATAGGAGGAGGAGGAGGCGGAGGAGGAGGAGGAGGCGGAGGAGGAGGAGGGGGAGGGGGAGGAGGAGAAGGAGGAGGAGGAGGAGGGGAGGAGGAGGAGAGGAGGTGAGGGGGAGGGGAGGGGGAGGAGGAGGAGGAGGAGGAGGAGGAGGAGGAGGAGGAAGAAGAAGAAGAAGAAGACACTCCCGCGGTCGCGGGTCGCCCCCTCGGGGGCCGCCGCGCCCGAGCGCCCGCGGCCGCGGGCACTCAGCGCGGGAGCCAGCGGCGTCGCCAGCTCGGCGCTCGGCGCCTCCTCAGATGAGGAGCACGATGGAGCCGCCGACGAGCTCCGCGTCGGACTTACCGCTTCTTCTTGCCCTTGCCCTTCTTGCAGCCTTCCGCCGCCGCCCCAGCGGCAGCACCGTCCACGAAGGGCTGCGCGTCCTCGAAGGCGACCTCGCACACCGTCGCACGGCGGCCGCTCTCGACCAGGACGCACACGAGGCCGTGCGGGTCGACGCCGTCATTGGGATCGCCGTGCACCGACCCTTGGCGCCCATCTCGAAGACGAACGCGGTCGCCTTCCCGCAGGATGTGCGGGGTGCGCCTCGGGGGCACCTCATCTGCCCACTCGTCGTCGTCGACGTCGGAGGGGAGCTTCATGTCCTCCTGGACCACCGCCTCCGCCGCCGCCGCCGCCGCACCCACCACGCCGCCGTCGGCGGGGGCCCCCACACCCACCGCCGCCGTCGCCGCCGCACCGCCACCAGGGGGCTTCTCCTCCACGACGTCCTGCAGCTGGAAGCGCGAGTCCACCTCCATCCGTCCTCCGCGGCCGCGCGGGCGACGGCGCCGAGGCGGCACCGCCTGGGGACCCGCGCCGACCTCGGCGGGAGGGGTGGGCTGCCCGACCAGCTCGGCCACAGCCGTGCGGACGAGCCCCTCCGCCGCACGCAGGAGGCGTGCCGAGTCACGCATCCCTCCTGCGGCGGCCAAGCCCGCGGCCGCGTGGACCGCCATCAGGGCCCCACGCGAGGCCTCCAGTGGCGCCGCGGCGCGTGCCGCCTTGGTCGAACCCGGCATCGGAGGCGAGGCGGGAGGCGCGGCGCGGCGCGGCGCAGCCCGGCGGCAAGGCGACCTGATCCAGTACGGTTCTGGAGGAGGAGGAGGAGGAGGAGGAGGAGGAGGAGGAGGACGAGGAGGAGGACGAGGAGGAGGAGGGGGGGCAACTGGACATCGCAAAGAGAAACGCATGGCGACGAGGGAGGAGAAAGGCCACCCTCCCGGCGAGAGGCCCGCCTCGCCCCCTGGGGCGGAGAAAGAGCCGCGGCGCCAGAGCCTCACCGAGGCGAGGCCAGGGCGAGGAACCCTAAATAAGGAGCGAGGCCACTATGTTCCACAAGTTGAACCTCGATTTCCTATCGAAAACCTAAGGAAAACCTGAGGCAAGCTGCGAAACACTTAAGGAACACGGATCCCCTCCCCAACGAAAAGGGTTCCTTGTTTAGCGCCCCGACTGTAAATCCGGGCGGCTCTGAGGATAAGGAAAAAAAGTCGGGCGGCTCTGCAATTCGCACGAAGCGCTGCGCTAAGGCTTGACTGAGACGAAGCCCAGACGAGACTCTCTGGATTCCTGCGGCTCCGGAAGATACATCAGGCGCCGCGGCCTTCTCAGAGCGTTCCGGAGCGCTCCGAGAGCGTTCCGGAGCGCTCCGAGAGCGTTCCAAAACGCTCCGGAACGGACTTATCCTCGTCATAGCCTCGTCCGGCTCACCTTGCAGGTCCACCGTGTCGGATGTGGCCGCCACCTGGGCGTCAGCCAGCAGCGGGCCCAGCATGCCCGCGACAGCCTCCTCTGCCACCGCTGCCCTGGCGCTGCGAGGACCAGGACGCACGGGTCAGGGGTCCTCGACCATGCTGCGCAGGCTCCGTGGACTGGACGATCCCGAGCCCAAGGCGCAGCTCATCCATCTCGCGGCGCAGCTGGGCAACGTCGTCCCGCACGTTGGCCACCTGCGCCTCCACTGCGCCCGTGCGGCCCTCGAACGCCGCGCGGAACTTCGCCAGGCCCACCGTGAAGGAGCGCGAGCGCGAGGTTGGGATGGGCAGAAGGATTTCGCCACGTGATGCGAAGTTTCCCCCTCCCCACCGAATCTCCCTCCTCGTCCTCCTCTATTTATCCTCCTCCTACTCCTACTCCTCCGATTCGCACCACGTGACGGCAAATCGCCGATGGGGAGACCAGAAGGCACCGATAACGCTACTCCCCGGACCTCTCCCGGGGTGCGTTCTGACCAGAATCTCGAGGCGAATCTAGCGGCGGCAACGAGGATCTCGCATTAGGCCAAGGAAAATGGAAAACTACGGTGCCCGGACAACAAGTGTCCACACCCATGACGGGAAGGCGATGCAACATGATAACAACCACAACTCCGAAATGCCCTTGCTTCGCACCCCTCCCCCCCAAACCCAAAGTTGAAGTGTCCACGTTCTGTCCCCGGCCCTTGGCCTAGTGCCAAAAACCCGTCGACTTCGAATTGAGGGGAAGGGGGGTACGCACGTTGGTGCGACGTACTTTGATGACTCAAGGTTATGGCGAGACACGTGTGGACACTTTTAGTCCACCCACCGTGGCGAAGGGCGGAGGTATGGGTACCTCTTCCTCCTCTGCGAGGTGGGCTGCAAGGCCGCCTGGGGCCGCGCCTCGATGTCCGGCAGCTCTGGTTACTTGCAGCGCGTCCGCGCCGCCTCCGCTGAGCAGGGACCGACCGCCCCGCTATTCCTATAGCCCTACCACGACATTTTCTTAGAACCCAAACATGTTCAAAGAGTGCGACGCGCGCGCAGAGCGAGCGGTCAAGCGCATCGGCGGCACCGTGCCAAGCTCAGGTGCGTGCACCTAAGTAGGGGTGGAGGGGGGGGGGACCGCCACGCGACCCGCACAGGGGAGCGCAGGACTGCGCGTGTGGCGGGCAGCTGCCTCCGCGAGCGTTATGGGCAAACATGCTCTAAGAACGAAAACGATATTCTTAGAACATAAGCCCGACGTGCTAAGCCAAGAAAGACCCAGCCGCCCTGCTGGCGGTTGTGCGTGCGCTCGCCCCAGACTGCGCCACGGGCCACCCGATCTGCCTCCCGCTGCTGCCGACGGCGCGCGTCACGGCGCCGCTGTTCCATGCGGGAGGTGCTGCGAGGGTCGGGCGATCCCGACTCCTTGGAGCCCGAGCGAGACATCTGGCCTTCAGCAGGAGCAGCGGCCGCTGCGTCAGCGCCCGATGCGAGGGAGGCCATCGCGGCAGATGTGGAAGGGGCGACGTCATCAAGCTGAGTGAAAGAAGATAGTCGCGAAACGTGGAGTGGGCGTGGGCCGGCAGCGGCGCAAGCCTCAAAGCACGGGGGCCTGGAGCCACCCCCTTGGCTAATTGCGTTGCTAGCTGCAAGCGCCAGGGACGCACGTTTGGAGCTTGAGCCGGAATGGCTACGGAGGAGGAGGAGGAGGACAAGGGAGGAGGAGGCAGGAGGAAGGACGAGAGAGGAGGGAGGAGGGGCGAGAGAGCAAGGCGGAACGAAGTGGGAGAAACGAGGGGGTAAATGCAGGGAGGGAGGACTGAGGGCGACCCCATTGCGATCCTTTGCCGCCTCGCCCGCGGGCAGCAGGATCTCGAAGTCACCTGTGAACAGTGTTCTGCAACATCTTGCTGCAAACTCGAAACAGCCCCATCGGCAAGCATGAAATGCATATGGCGGCGCTGCCTTTGGCACGAGACATCTCACACGACGTGGCACACCAGCTGGGCCACACCGCACCGGACATGCCAACGTCTTATCACACAGAAGCGTCCAAGCCATAAGAATGGGTGAAACAACGAAACACGGGTGGCAATATCTAGCAGCCCGCTATCACTCTGCCAAGATGGAATCACGTATACCCACGCGCGCACTCATGAATTCGCAGGAAGCACAGAGTCGGACAAGCGCTGGCTGCTGTGTGGTAAAGCTTCTGTGATGGGAAAGGGGGTCAGGGGGATGAGGAGGGATGACAATGATAAGCATGCGAATGCGAGGGTGACTGAACAGAGGGGGGGCCGGGTGTATATACCCCATCATGCAGACGCCAGCTTCTGCTCACCAAGGGGCGAAAGCGAATGACAGCATGATGAGATGGTAAGATGCGCCAGCCCTGCGGGCACTACGTCGCCTGACACGACGCTGGAAGTCAGGCCTCTGCGGCTCACGGCTTCAGACAGCGCGTCCATGCTCACCATGCTGGAAGGCACACTCGCAGCCTGCCGGGGGGAAGGCAACATGAAGCCGCATTTCGAACAAGAACGCCAAGAATCACGTGAACAGTCTCTCGTCAGGAGGCTTACCCACGGACGGATCACTGCGGGCGGATGCAGAAACAAAAAGATGCCGCCTCCATGTGCCATTATCCACTCTTCCTCCCCGTCCTACTTTTACGTGCTCAAGCAGCTTCATCCCCGCTCCCTAAGCGGCCTGTGCAATCGCGGCCACCAGCGCAGAGAGCACAGCTGGGTCCGCTAGGAGGTCGGTGGCGTTGCTGGTCGCGAGGCTGATAGTTCCACCGATTGTCATGGCCAGGACGGTAACCTCTCCCCCCATGTCTCCCTCCAGTCTTGCATAGCCGAACTATGATGCCAACGCGTTGGCCATATACAATCCGCAACCGTGCCCCTGGCACGGTGAGGCACGGTAGCATGTCAACTACTGCCTGGTAGGGTTTCCGCCAAGCCGCTCCTCACATCCAGGTCCGTTCATCGCCCCCATCTCGCGAGGATCCCCGGGCGGCCCGAAGATTCCCTGGGATTCTCCAGGGCTCTCCAAAGCTTCCGCGGCGGCCCTCGAAGGGCCGCCAAAGACGCCAAGCTGGCCCAAGGTTGCTTCAGAACGCAACCCGCCAAAGCCCGAGAAGAGCCCAAGAGGCGCCAAAAGAGCCCAATAGGCCTCCAAGACATAAAAGGAAAAAAGGAATGGAAGTCCTCAAGAGGCCAAGTTCATGCAACCAGAGGTCCTCAGAGGAGCTAGAGAAAAGCCAAAAAAGAGCCCCGTGAGGGCCTCCGAAGCCCCGCAGTCGGCTCAGGGCCCCGAGGCGGCCCAAAAGCGGCGAGGACAGCCAAAAAATGCCCCATGAGTGCCCGAAGACGGCCCAACATGGCCACAAGAGACGCCCAATACGGCGCCAAGAGACTCTCTAGACGGCCGAGATGGGCCCGAGACGGCCCAATACAGCATAGGGCCCCAAGAGGGCCTCCAGAGAGCCCCAAGAAGGCCCCACGAGAGCCCCCCATCAGAGCTCACGACAGCCCCGAGACGGCCGAGGTGGCTTCTCATGAGAACTCTACCACGGAACAGAAGCCAGAGGTGCCCCCTGCTGCAGCCCTCGGTGCGCGAGGCGTCGCCACACAGAGCACTGCGCTGGCACGGCAGCGGGACTTGCCGCAGGCAACTGCAGATATGCTCTCCGGCGGCTCGGACATTGGCACCAAGACCAACACCGGGGGCTGCCCCCACCAGGGGGAGATGATCCTAGGCTTGGAGGCCAGTGGCAATCTTTCGGCCACCAAGAAAGCCCAAGTATGACCACCATCGCCGAGATCGGGATCGTCTTGCACCGATGGAGGCACACCGCCGACAGTGGTGTTGGTGTCAACCTCTACGCCTCCGAGCTCTGGCGCTCCCGATGTGCAAGCTGAGCCGTGCAAGCCACGGGGCACAAACCACCTGGGCACGACAGAGCACCGATGATCGAGAGGCACCGGCCACAGGGCACCACACCCAGGGCACCAGCCGTGGGGCACCCAGCCGCTGGGGAGCCACGGTGCACCCGCAGGGCAGCGACCACGGGGCACCAACCACGCAGCACCCACCAGAAGGCACCAACCCACAGGGCAACCACAATGCCGCGAGGGCGCGTCTGTCTCTCCGCGTGCACCGCCGAGGTCCGGCGCTCGCATGCAGAGGAGGAGCAAACTCAAGAGAGGCGAGAGGCGAGGAGGCGCCGCCGCGCGGCCCGCCACCCCACACCGCGCCCCCGTCGCCGTCCGCAGCGGCGGCTCGCCTGCCAGGCGCCGCCTCGGTCGGCGGCACGAGCAGCGCATCGACCTTGTCTGCGGTGAGAGCGCTGGACGAGGCACCGTTCGATACGTTAGGAGACAACGTCTGGGAGGCTTTTGCCGGAAGGAATTCGGAAGATGCAGCCCCGTTGGGTGGCTGTTACGCCAGATTCGGCCGCGGATTAAGCGGGATTAAGCCATACTATACGACCACCCTGCGGGTGATAAGGAGGTTGTGGGGGGTGGGGGGAGGGGGGTGGCTCATGACGACAGCTGTGATGAACGTGGTGCTGATGGGCGATGATGGTGTGGATGACGTGGCGGATTAAGCTCTTGAGCCGAACTAAAGATCTAAGTAATTAGTGACGATGATGGTGGTGATGATGGTGACCGACTTGCGTGAGGCCTGATGGTGACCGACTTGCGTCGCATGGCCTGAGCCCTTGAGCCGAACTAAAGATCTAAGAAATTAGGTTAGAAATAAAGAAACCCCCAAAAAAGAAGGATACGAGGAGGAGAAGCAAGAGAAGGTGTCCCATGATGAGCAACCATGATGGTGTCCCATGATGAGCAACCATGATGAGCAACCATGATGAGCAACCGGCGGGACAATGATGAGCAACCATGATGAGCAACCATGATGGGCAACCATGATGGGCAACCAGCGGGACAATGATGAACAACCATGATGAGCAACCGGCGGGACAATGATGAGCAACCATGATGAGCAACCATGATGAGCAACCGGCGGGACAATGATGAGCAACCATGATGAGCAACCGGCGGGACATTGATGAGCAACCATGATGAGCAACCATGATGGGCAACCGGCGGGACAATGATGAGCAACCATGATGAGCAACCGGCGGGACAATGATGAGCAACCATGATGAACAACCATGATGAGCAACCGGCGGGCAACCGAAGAGACAATGCGGGCCACCGCTTGACAACACCGGGGGGGGAAAACATTTGTGTTGGCGGACCCCTAGCGACAGCAGAGTGAATTCCTCTCGCTAGCTCACGCAGCTTCGCCTCGCCCGCACGCACGGCACGAGCACGAACTCGAAACTCGATTTCCCGGTGGGGGGACTCCGTTAGCGATCTCACCCCCCAACCTCCGATTAAGAAAGACTAAATCAGATCAAGCGGGATGGAGCGGGATAAAGCCGGATTTCGGACCACGGCAAAACCAGAACCTGACCTCCCAGGAGCTGCATCCGAAGAATAATGAACACAAGCCCTGAAAGCCGGTGGACACCCCTTCAGGCTTCGCCATGGATATCACTGCGGCGCTCACCAGGCAAGGAACCCCCCATGGTCTGAAGCCTCCTGGGCACATTCCTCAACCAACGCCCCCATCCATAGGGCACCAACGCATAGGGCACCGAGCCGGCTCGGTCATGCAGCACCGACCAGAAGGCCTAGAATGACAAATAGTGCAAACGTAAGTAATGTGATTTTTTTCTCACTGAGAGGGATCGTCCACAAAGCACCGAACAGCCGACAAACAACGAACAGGACCAGCTCCGTAGAACGCAAGCGAGAAGCCCTAGGATGAAGCAGTGCTGGAGTAACACATACTTGAAGACCTGTCTTGAGTTACACGTTCCTGCATCTCTGGCCTGATGTGGCAATCAATCACAGACGCCGTCGTGGCCATAGAAGGGCCCCGATGGCTGCTCCTCAACATCCGTACACTCGAACGACGAGAAGTTTCACTTGCGCACGTCCCAGCAGTTGCAATAACGATACGCAAATGCTGCAACGATGTCTCACAAACGTCACGGTATCTCTCGCTCCTCGATGGGGCGCCAGAATCTGGGAGGTCAGAGCTCACCCCCAAAGCCGCAGAAGCGGGATCCCATGAAAGGCTTAGACAGCTGTCCCTCTTCCAACTCCAGCTCCCCCCTCCTTCGAAGCGATCGGATGCCAACTTTAGTGAAGTGACTGGCGTTCGATTGAACGGGCTGCCCAGCCAGACCGATCGAAGGCCGAAAACAACACAATGTCATATTCGAAAGGGTGAGATCCTCCTCCGCGTGCGCCTCCCAACCCAGTGGAACCGTCGAGGTGGCAGTAGTGCTATGAGGAGAAGTCGTACTGAGGGAGGTGGTGCTACGGGAGATCGTGCTGCTCCGTGAAGAGGAGGTCACTGACGAACTGGCCGTTGTGGTGTGGGGTGTGGTGGAACTGCTTGCGCTGGTGGTGCTTCTTGTGATGGACATGGTCGATAATGTTGAACTTTCCGTGTCAGTGGTTGCCGTGTTAGTCCCCGTCGTTTGGGAGATGGTGCTGCTTCTTGTTATGGAGACCATGGTTGACGTGGGTGTACTGGTGCTCACTGATGTGCGAGATGTGCTGCTCGTAGACGACGTCACAGAAGTTGAAGTCAACGTCGTCGATGTAGCAGTGGTCGCGCTAGCAGTGGACGTTCCAGAAGTTGAAGTCAATGTGGATGTTGAAGCAGTCGTCACTGCACTGTTGGTCACAGTAGCAGTGGTGACGGACGTCATCGTTATACTATGTGTATCAGTCGTTTGACTCGCGCTGGATGACATCGTGCTAGTTGTCAAAGTGATTGACGTTCCACTCAGGCTGGATGTTGTAGTGATGTTCGTAAGTGACTCGGTCGTGGCAGATGTCGGCGTTGTCACGGTGATGCTGGAAGTCAGGGTCACCGTCATGCTACTGACAGATGTGTCACTTCTAGTACTGGCGCTGGTGGTGGATGTGTTGCTCTCTGTGGTGCTGCTTTCACTGCGGGTCAGAGTCACCGTTGTTATGGTGCTACTCAATGTTGCGCTGCTGCTGGCACTGGTTGGCGTTGAGCTGAGTGTGTTGCTCACACTTACCGTCGAGAGTGTTGTGCGGCTAGTTATGCTAGTGCCTGTTTCAGTTGTGATGCTGCTTGACACACTCTGACTCGTGCTGCTGACAGTCTGGCTAGTCTCAGTGCCGCTTACAGTCTGGCTCGTCCCAGTGCCGCTCGAGGTCTGGCTCGTCTCAGTGCCACTGCTTTCCGTTGTGCTGGTGCTGTCGCTAACGCTCGTGGCTGTCGTCGAAGCTGTCGTGTGAGTGATACTCGATGTTGTGCCGCTGCTAGACCCGCTGGTGTGTGTATCAGTCACGCTGCTTCGCGAGGAGCTGGTGGCTGTCACTGTGCTCGCTGACTCAGAAAGGGTGCTCTCACTCGTGCTGGTGGACGATGTGCTGCGACTTGTCGTTGAGATACTTGTCATGGTGCCGCTGGTAATCGTCATAGTGAATGTTGTCTCACTTGTGCTAGAAGAATGAAATTGCAATGCGAAGCGAGAAACAACCCGTGACCACGACAACAAATTCTTACACAGCACATCTCATGGGGAACGCTAAAGACATTACTCAAATCAAGACGTCATGGTGATTCGAAAACAAGTTTGCCCGCGCATGGCATAAGAGATCTTGCGGCACGGTGCGAGGGCTTTTACACACTCGCGTGCCTTGGCGTACCTCTGGATCGAAATCAGAAGTAGATATGCCAACTTGCACACAGCTCCAACGCCAGAGCTGCACGCAACTCGAAACCGCATGATATGGCGATGGGATCGTGGTCGGCTCACATACCAACACAACAATAGCGTGGTGAGCTGTGTGCCCGGTACACGTTGTTCATTTATAATCGTGCTCATCTCTAATTGTGTTCGTTTCTAATTGTTCCTGGCCCCCTAGTGGCCAGGAAGAGGCCTAGGAGAGAACAATTAGAAATGAAAGGACCTTGGCCCCTCAAAAAATAGAAGAGCTCTCGAAGAATTAGAAATGGACAACGTGTACTTCTGTAACAACTATATGAGAAGTTCCTGGGTAGACCGGACACGCAGCCCCACCTTCCAGCCCCAACCGCCCTGCGATTGCTCCTGGAGGAAGGCGTCACGGCACTGAAGGCTGGGGATGCCTTTCTCGCGCAAGGGCGGGAAACGCGACCCGCAAACCCGATGCCGATGCCTCTGCACCCATCATGGTTGGATCTGTTTACATCGGGTTGGGAGGGGGTCCATGTTCCAGCCCCTGAGGCACAATCGAAGCATCCTTGAGAGCATCCTGTCAGCATATGTTGCCAAAAGGCCATTGTCGGAGAGGCCATCCTCTTCCATTTCCACCTCCAACTCCGCCTCCACCTCCACCTCCACCTCCACATCCACCGCCACCTCCTCCTCCTCCTTCTCCTCCTCCTCCTCCTCATCATCATCATCATCATCATCATCACTATCATCACCATTATCATCATCATCTTCATCATCATCATCATCAGCATCAGCATTAGTATCAGCATCATCATCACCAGTACCATCATCATCATCATCATCATCATCATCATCATCAACATCATCATCATCATCATCATCATCAGCATCGCCATCGTCATCGTCATCGTCATCATCATGATCATCATCATCATCATCAGCATCAGCATTAGTATCAGCATCATCATCACCAGTACCATCATCATCATCATCATCATCATCATCATCATCATCATAATCAGCATCGCCATCGTCATCGTCATCGTCATCATCATGATCATCATCATCAGCAGCAGCAGCATCGGCAGCAGCAGCAACAGCCGATTCATCATCACCATCGCCATCACCATCACCATCACCAACATCATCATCACAAGCACCATCATCAGCTAACTCATACTGGTCATCACCGTCACCATAATAATGCTCATCATCATCCTCGTCATCATCGTCATCATCTTAATCTCAGTCACCATCATCCTCGTCATCATCATCGTCACCGACTTCGCCATCTTCTTCACCACCATAGTCATCATTACACCATCCTGAACTTCATCATCATCACCACCACCACCATCATCATCGTCAGAATCAGTATCGTCAGAACCATCACCACCGTTAAGTATCCTCATCATCATCGTCATCACCAGCATCAGCATGCGCATCGAAACTATCACCATCTGCACATTCACCATCACGATCACCATCACCACGATCGCTATCACCATGACCGTCACCATCACAATCAACGTGGCAACTACCAGCAACATCAATAACACCATCATCTCCATCACAATCACCATCGTCATCACCAATAGCATCACCAAGATCACCGCCATTATCATAAAGATCGACGGCATCTGCAGCATCATCCCCATCATCAGTATCGTCCTCATCCTCATCATCCTCATCATCATCATCATGACCATCATCATCGTCACCAACAACAGCAACAATGACCTCATTATCATCAGGCGCAGCATCATCAGCATCATCAGCATGGTCATCATCATCAACATCATCATACTCAGCATCATCATCAGCAGCATCATCATTATATCATTCAGCATCAGCCTCATATTCATCGTCGACTTCGTCATCACTATCATCGTAATCATCGTCACCATCACCATGACCATCACCGCAATCATTATCATTATCATCATCACCGTCATCACCATCATCATCAACGCCTTCATCATCGCCATCGGCGTCACAAGAAGAGTTCTAATCATCACAATGATCACAGTCGTACTCATCATCATCGTCATCAGCATGGCCATCATCATCACCAATAAGAGCAATGGCCACATGATCATCAGGAACAGCATCATCATCATCAGCATCATCAGCATCATCATCATCATCACCACCTGTCGCGGGGCTCTCGCGCGCGGCTATATCTGAGCTTTCTTGGGGCTCTGTAGGTTCATTTGGGGCATTCTTGTTGCCTCTTGAGGCCATCTTTCAGCCAGTTGGGGCCCGCTTGGGCTCGTGGCCGTCCTGGAGCCTTATCGTTGGGCTCTTGCGGGCCGGCTTACGCCGTATTGAGCCAGGTGCGGCCCATGCTTCGAGACAAAGGTAATCCACAGGCCAGGCAAAGGCAAGTGATAATGGATGGGATGTCTTGGCGGAGCGGGGGAGTCCCCCAGGCAAAAGAAGGAGAAGGGGGCGCAGCGATATTGCCAGCTGCCCGTTATACATAAGAAGTGAGATGCCTTCAGGCTGAGCAAAGTTTGGGATGTGAGGCTGCTACTACATACGGGGCGAACGCATGTACTTGGAATCCACGAGAACTAGAAAGCGCAAAGCACACTTCAACCTGTAGCATTATGAGCCTCGGTGAGTATTCCATGGATGCGGCAAATTCCTGGTTCTCCTTCTACACCTCTTCCATACCACATAGTCTTCCGCATGATTATCGTGCTCCTCTTCCACTTAACTTACTGCTTCATCGAACCCAATACCACTGCCTTGAGGGCTACTTCGATATCCGCCGGCCCCCTTTGGGCGGCCAACAGGCTGCAACGGCTGGGTGTTCCGCACGAAGATGACGTCCAGTTCAAGACCCGCCTCATTTCAGACTGCTTGCTGAACTGCAACGGGGCGTGAATTCGACCTCCCCCTACCGCGCAGACGAAGACGAGGTCGAGTTCACGACCTGTCCCAGTTCAGACCTGTCGTCGGAATTTCGCTGTTCTTGCACTCCAGTCTCCTTCCTGCTGCGCTGTCGCACAAGCACTTTGGCGGAGCTCGCCGCAGGCAGCTAGACAATCATTGATGTTCTACTTGCTAGCTCCGAAGATGTAAAATGTAATGATTGAGATCCGCGCGGGCACCCCAGGCCGATAAACGGCCCCTTCCCCTCCCAGACTCATATGCTCTGAATTTCTGAGGGGGCCCAAGGACACATGAAAAGAATGATCGACCCACGAACAAGGAAAGGGATTTAGAACTGCGAGGCATGGGAACGTTTCCAAGCACCAATTGGGCGACGGGCAGTGGCAAAGCTGATCATTTCAATGATGATGCTGATGATGATGATGAGGATGATGACGAGGATGATGATGATGATGATGATGATGATGATGATGATGATGATGATGATGATGATGATGATGATGATGATGATGATATTAATATGCCAAGGGCTGTGCTGTGCTGCTCTGCGCCATGCCGCGCAGCCCAGTGACGTGCCATGGACGCGACACAGAACGTGCCAGTGGACGTGCCAGTGGACGCGCCGGGGGACATGCCGCGTTGAACTGTGCCGTGTGCTAGTGTATTGTGGGTCAAGCCGTCCTTGGCGTCAGAATGCTGACCAAACTGATTTGGATCTTACGCTCGAGCTGTCTGAACGCATAGCCTGGGCTAGTTGCAATCGAAACGCGCGGGGCGCTCGGCGAGCTCGAGCTCGAGATCCGATTCAGTTCCGGATCCCTCGCTCGAGACACCCGGACGTAGAATCCAGACAAACACATGTTGGATATCTCCCTGTGTAGCCTGGACGCGTGAAGACGTGGCTCCAGCTCGGGACAAACATGTTAGATACCCCCCCTGGGAGGCCTGGACACGTGAAAATACATGTTTCCAGCTCGGGGCGACCATGTTAGATACCGTCCTGGTTGGCCTGAACGCGGGAAAAACACGTGGTTCCAGCTAGGGGCCACAATGTTAGATATCCATCTGGGTGGCCTGGACACGCGAAAACACGTGGCTTCAGCTCAAGAGCACCATGTTAGAACCCCTGGGGAAATTCTGGGAAAGCACCAGCCGAAGAAGCTGTCGGATTTTTGCACGTTGGGCGTCGATCTATTGATTTTGTCTGGCACCTGGCACCCCACGCTGGGGGCACCCAGCCGACCATATGTTAGATACCCCCGTGGGTTTGCCCGCATACACGTCGTTCATTTCTCATCGTGCTCATTTCTAATTGTGCTCGTTTCTAATTGTTCCTGGCCCCCTAGTGGCCAGGAAGAGGCCCAAGATAGAACAAGTAGAAATGAAAAGATCTTGGCCCCCCCAAACAAAAACAAACTTTTGAAGAATTGGAAATGAATCGTGTGTACCCCTTCTGGGTGGCCTGGGCACGTGAAAGCACGTGGCTCCAGCTCAGGGCCACCCACCATGTCAGATACCCCTTCTGGGTGGCCTGGACACGTGAAAACATGTGGTTCCAGCGCGGGGCCACCATGTTCGATACCTCCCTGGGCGGCCTGGACACATGAAAGCACCTGGTTTGAACGAGGGGCATTATGCAACCATCCTAGATATCCCCCCTCCTGGGCGGCCTGGGCGCGTAAAGACACTAGGTTCCAACTCGGGACCACCAGGTTAAATATCCCCATGTACGGCATGGACACGTGAAAGCACGTGGTTCCAGCTCGAGATCCTCGCCTTACATACTCCATCTGTGGCCTGGGAAAATGAAAACACGTGGTTCCAACTGGGGACAATCATGCTACATACCGCCCTAAGTGGCCTGGATGCGTAAAAAACACGTGGTTCCAGCTCGGGACAACAATCTTAGCTGTCCACCTGGGTAGCCTGGACACGTGGCGAAACCACGTGGTTCCAGCTCGGGACCACCAAGTTCGATACCCAAGTTGGAAGTCTGGAAAATCACCAGCCGAAGAAACTTGCCAGTTTATTACTACAAATCTGGTGGAGATGTGTTGGCTTTGTCTGGCTTTCGTGGGCCCCCACGCTGAGGGCGTCCAGGCGACCACATGTTAGATCTCCCCCCTGGGTGGCCCGCACACCTAAAAAAACACTTGGCTCCAGCTCGGGGACACCAAATTAGATACCCCTCTGGGTGAACTGGACACGTGAAAACACGCGTTTCCAGCCCCGGGCCACCATGTTAGATACCTCTCTGGGCGGCCTGGACACGTGAAAACACGTGGTCCCACCGAGGGGCAAGATGCAACAATCTTAGATACCCATCCCCTCCTGGGCGGCCTGGGCGTTTTAAAACACACGGTCCCAGCTCGGGACCACCATGTTAGATACCCCTCTGGGTTGCCTGGGCAAGTAAAAACGCGTGGCTCGAGCTCGGGACCGCCATGTTAGATATCCCCGTGGGTGGCCTGGACACATGAAAACACATGGCTCAAGCACGAGACCACCATATTAGATACCCCTCTTGGTGGCCTGGACACGTGAAAACACACGGTTCCAGCTCGGGACCACCATGTTAGATACCCCAGGGGGGGAAATCAGAAAATCGACCGCCGAAGAAACCGTGTCAAGTTAATACACAGCTGGTGTCGCTTGATTGATTTTTTCTGGCTTGTGTGTGCCTCCACGCTGGGGGCCCCAGACGACCACATGTTAGAGACCCCCCGTGGGTGGCCTGGAGACATAAAGACACGTGGTTCCAGCTCGGGGCCACCATGTTAGAAACCCCTCTGGATGGCCTGGACGCGTACAAACACGTGGTTCCAGCTCGGGACCACCATGTTTGATACCCCACTGGGTAGCCTGGACACGTACAAACAAGTGGTTCCAGCTCGGAACCATCATCTTGGAAACCCCCCTGGATGGCCTGGACACGTGAAAACAGGTGCTGCGCCTGAGACATTCTCTGAACGCGCCAGAGGAGCAACCTAAGAGACAAAACAAGCGTTTCGTTCGAGACATCCTCAACCGAGTCTGCAAGATAGTCAAGCGTTTCGCATGAGACATCCGCAACACATGATCATGTTCACATTACCGTGTGTTTGATGAATCGGAACGTTAAAAAAACGTTTCGCTCGGGACGTCCTCAACATTGAACCCGCTGGCCCTCTTCGATCTCGTTTTCTGTCGCACATCCATCCGCCCGCTTTCTTCGAAGTTGGCACCTGGGACAAGTTGACCCACTGTTGTGGATGCCATGACAATGGACACTCTAACAATCCTGCCGTTGAATTAAAAATGTGTTAAACGATGTAAGAATGTACTATACATGTGTCAAACATTTATATATATATATATATATATATTAAACAATGCTTGAAACATGCTTTACACATCTGGAAATTATTTGGCAGCATGCTTCCTCTACTTTAATCGATTTCCACAAACCTTTTGTGTTGTGTTTGATTTTACTTATTGTTGTTTTTGTTTTTTGCATTAAAAATAATACATTAAATAACAAAAGGAGAACAAACAAACACAAAAAAGGGCCTGTGCCCTTTCCGGGAAGCAACAGATTCGCTCATCGAGGCCCGGGTTCCTGGCAGGTTCCCGCGGCAGCGCGCTCCCGAGGCCAGAGCACGGCGCACCCGCGCTCCCGATGCCAGAATGCCTTGCAGAGCACGCCGGGTTCGCTCCCCAGGCTAACAGATCTCTTGAAATACACACACGTCGTTCATTTCTAATCGTGCTCGTTTCTACTTGTGCTCGTTTCTGACTGTTCCTGGCCCCCTAGTTGCCAGGAAGAGGCCCAGGGCAGAACAATTAGGAATGAAAGGATCTTGCCCCCCCACACACATAAAATCAAGGAACCTTCGAATAATTAGAAACGAACAGTGTATAGACTCACGCTCCCGAGGCCACTATCACGAAGCCACGGCCCCCCGGGAAAATAACAACAGAATCACGCCCCCGAGGCCGCAAGGCGCCTCGATGTTACGCTCCCGAGGTCACAATGCCGCCATGCAAATCACGGCGCACTCGCGATTCCGAGGACACGAACCCATCCCGCGGAGGCTTCCCAAACACGCCCCCCCTCTCCAGAGCAGAAAACTGTCGTGTTCTGTACCGGGATGGTCTTCGAAGAACAATTCTAAGCCTCCCCGTCGTTTCCTGAGAATTCGGCCATGGGCCCGAGGCCACGAACCCTCAGAAAAAGCTTGGGACGTGCGCTCCCGAATCCGTGACGCGCCGTGTTTCAAAGTGGACGCGCATTCCCGATGCCGCCATCCCCCATTGATTACTACAGACGCGCGAAACCAGTCCGCCATCAAACGGCCCAAATCGGTTGCCAACCATCATAATTGACAACACAACAGGCCAGACAGCTGAGTTGTCAGTCAGCCAACCGATAATAAAAAACAACAGGACAACATTTAATATTACCTATATATATATATATATATATATATATATATATCAACGACAAAAAAAACCTGCCAACCAGGCGCGACCGTGCAAAAAAAAGGGGGGGTGACGGCCGAGGGCGAAGCCCTGCAGAGATCACAGGCCCGGCTGCCTCCGAGAGCAACAGCTGGGGAGAGGGCACGCAGGGCGGAGGATCTGCACATAGACAAAAGTGGAGCGCCGAGCGACCCTGCGCGAGGAGGGCGGGCATCGAGGGGGGGGGGGACGGGGGAGCGGGAGGCAGAGTGAGAGGGAAGGGACAGGAGGGAAGAGGCAGGATTGGAGCTGAAGGGGAAGGTGGAGGAAAGAAGCAGGAGCGGTATGACGAAGCAACATCAAATCAGAATGCTCAGTCAAGCCGCGTCCTGCTCACACTTGTCCTGGTAGTCCCGCTGACTGTGCTCACCGAGGAAGCAGTAGTCAAGGTAGTGGTCGACGTTGTACCAGTGACCACACTCACACTTGTACTGCTGATGCTGCTCAGCGTGCTCGTCGTCGAACCCGTGCTCACTGTGGAACTGATGCTGCTGAATGTATACGAGAATGTCGTGTCAGTGGCACTGCTGACACTTGTGCTGCTTATACTGCTCAGCGTGCTCGTCGTCGAACCCGTGCTCGCTGTGGAAGTGATGCTGGTGTCTGTAAATGTGGTGGCAGTGGTGCTGCTCGCAGTTGTGCTACTGGTGAGTGTGGTTCCACTGGTGCTGCTCATGCTGCTGCTGCTCAGCGTGCTCGTCGTCGAGCCCGTGCTCGCTGTAGTGCTGATGCTGGTAAAGGTGCCTGATACTGTTGTGTCAGTGGCACTGGTCACACTTGTGCTGCTCATGCTGCTCAGCGTACTCGTCGTCGAGCCCGTGCTCGCTGTGGAGCTGATGCTGGTGAACGTGTGTGTTGATGTTGTGCCAGTACCACTGCTCACACTTGTGTTGCTAAAGCTGCTCAGCGTGCTCGTCGTCGAGCCCGTGCTCGCTGTAGTGCTGGTGCTGGTGAACGTGTCTGACACTGTGGTGTCAGTGGCGCTGCTCACACTTGTGCTGCTCATGCTGCTCAGCGTGCTCGTCGTCGAGCCCGTGCTCGCTGTGGAGCTGATGCTGGTGACTGTGTCGGATACTGTTGTGTGGGAAGCGCTGCTCACACTTGTGCTGCTCGTGCTGCTCAGCGTGCTCGTCGTCGAGCCCGTGCTCACTGTGGAGCTGGTGCTGGTGCCTGTCAATGTGGTGACGGTGGCGCTGGTCGCACTTGTGCTACTGGTGAGTGTGGTCCCACTGTTGCTGGTTGCTGTAAGACTGCTGCTGCCAGTAGTTATTGTGGTTGTCGAACCAGTGGTCATTGTTCTACTGCTGCTGCTGGTTGATGTGACTGTGCTTGCCACCGTGAAATACCCGTATCCATACCCATACCCGTACCCACCAGACGATAAGCGACGGGTGGATGCTGAACTTGTAACTCCTAATGCAGGAGCAATGGAGTCGAGGCACTCTTGGAAATGGGCAGCGGCATGGATGAACACTGGCCGCGTCTGGTACTCAAGGTGCTCGAGCTCGGTCGCGGGAGAAAGTTGAGCATAGGGACAGCCACCATCTTCTATGCTCGGAGCGTTTGTTAACTACTGCGCGGGGAGATTACTACTGAGACCCCCCTTCCATCAAATACACAAAGCAGCGGCTGCCTATACCGAGTGCCAACAGAACGCAACCCCGCAGACTTCCACCCTTGCTACAAAAAACAGCGGTGAAGAAGCGCCCACCCGATCCAGTAGCGCGAGTTCCCGAAGAGCGCCTGGTTGTAGTCTAAAACTATCATCTCCGGCCTGGGATTGCGCGCCATTTTTTTTTATCTCGACGGAGGAAGGGAGGAGGAGCAGCAGCAGCAGCAGCGGCGGCAGCAGCAGCAGCAACAACCGTGTGTGGCCGCGTCGGCCCCGGGGACGAGGGGGCGCAACGACAATTTTGATATGCAACAACAAGTACCGTGCTCAAAACTTCCGTGCCAATATGCTGCGTGTTGCCTCAGCGCCTTGGCCAACGTCTTGGCGAACGCACCGCGCCAGGTTATCAATCTAGATGTTGAGCTTCGTATCAATACGCTACGCGTTGCGTGTTGCGTATCGGGAGCTGGAGCTGCCGTTGATACGTCGCTGCCGCGTCGACACGGCACGAATCTAGCTGCCCCGATACGCAGCACGCAACGCGTAGCACATTGATACGGAGCTCAACTGTTGAGCTCCGAATCAATATGCTACGTGTTGAGCATCAACACGTAGACTGATCACGCAGGTCTGGCGCGACACGTTGTGGGCCATTACGCTGAGGCAACAAGCAGCGTATTGCCGCAGACGCTTCGAGCACGGCACGTGTTGTGTATCCAAACGGGCGACTGGGAGCAGCTCAGGTCGGGGATGGGCCGCTGCCGCGCCGACACGACACGAACCTACCGCACGGGGGTCTGCTCTCGGAGCGCGATCTTCCCGCGGGGGTACCGTCAGGTCGGGCGTGTCCCCCATACAGGGGGATTTTGGACGAAACATTAAAAAAAAATACCCAAACATGCTCAAACATGCTCCACAAATCGTCCCTGGACTATTGGTGTACTATTTCTGAATATTCCTCCTTCAGCAGGACGTGCCCGACTTACCAAACGGGCGACTGGGAGCAGCTCAAATCGTGGATGGGCCGCTGCCGCGCCGCGCACGGCACGAACCTACCGCACGGGGGGGGTCTGCTCTCGGAGCCGCGCTTCCCGCGGGGGTGCAGTTTCGCCGAGGGGTGGCGCCACGCGCCTGGCTTTAGGTCGGGCGTGTCTCCCTACAGGGGGATTTTGGACGAAAAATTGAAATTGGTCATTCAATGATCAAAAACATGCTCAAACATGAAACATCTATATATATATATATATATAGAAGTGCGCCCTGATTAATGTTAGACTATGTTCGAAGATTCCTCCTGTACAGGGACACGCCCGACTTAAGCCTGGCTGCGCGACGGGGCACGCGCTCGCGCGGGTCGTGGGCCTGCAGCCGGCCGAGGCAACTGCCGAGCAACGCCCCGCGTGCGCGTGCCCGCGGTGCTGAGATCCCCCTGCTCGCTTCGGGCATCGGTCTCCGGCCACCGCCGCGCGACGAGTCCGGCGGACGCGGCGGCCGCCGCGCTCGGCGGGGACGTCGTGCCATTATTTCCCGGCGCGTGGGGAGGAAGGCAGGCGGCAGAGGGGACGAAGGGGTGAAGGCGGAGGAAGAAGGGAGGAAGGAGGAGGGAGGGAGCAGGGAGCAGAGGGCAGGGAAGGAGAATCAGAGAAACAATATGATGATTCTTGAACAAATCGCATGAAGGCTGGCCTGTGGTGGAGCAGGTCTGACAGCACGGCCTGGTCGTCCTCCTCCGCCGTGATGTCAATTTGCTGGACCAGGTGGAGCAGGTCCACCGCCCTGTGAAGCGATGGCACAATCGTCTGTGTACTCTCCTGGCTTTCATCCCGGTCGCTCAAGACGCCTGGCGACTTTCCAACCTGACTAAGCAACAGCGCCACAATCCTACACAGTCTCGCGTGCGCTCCGCATCGCCTGCAAGAGCGCAGCAAAGTATAGTCATGAACGACATGGCTAAAGGATCCGACGGCGGCATAATGTTTCGGATCAGTGAATAACTCCGAGAAGGCATGGTTATCCCGCTGTCAGTTCCTAACCATAATGTGATGGGTCCTCGTTTTGAAGAGACAGCACCCCACATCAGGATCCTTCATTCCTTCCCGCTGTCCTCCTCCCTCCTCCCGTCCCTGCCTCTGCCCTCCGCATGTCAATTTCGGCACACCCCCCACACGCTGCGTGGCCCCAAAGAAAACCCACCGGAAGCCCCAGCGGCGTCTCTCGCATGCGCCACCCACACCGATTTCAGAATACCTCTCACACGCTACGTGGCCATATGGAGCTCCACCGAAGGCCGTGGCAGTTTTCGCAAGCGCCCCCCGCACCCATGTCGGCACACACACGCAACACGCTTCGTGGCCCCATACGAGTTCCCACTCAAGGTCTCCAATGGCGGTTCTCGCACGCATGTCCCGCATCCATCATAGCACACCCCTCACACAATTCGTCGCCCCATAGGGAGCCCCACCGAAGGCCCCAGTCACGACTCTCGCATGCGTCCCCCGCACCCATGTCGGCATACCTCTCACACGTTTCGTGGCCCCATGGGGAGCTTCACCGATGGCCTCGGCAGCGAATATCGCATGCGTCCCCCGCACCCATGTCGGCACACCCATCACACACTCCGTGGCTCCATAGGGTGCCCCACCAAAGGCTCCAGTGGCAGTTCTCGCACGCGTCCCCCGCACTCATGTCAGCACACCCCTCACACGCTCCGTGGCCCCATGGGGAGCTCCACTGAAGGCCCCAGTGGCGGTGGATGCGTCCCCCGCACCCATGTCGGCACTCCCCTCGCGCGCTTCGTGGCCCCATAGGGCGTCCCACCAACGGGCCAAAATGGCAGTGCTCGCATGCGTCCCCCGTACCCATTACGGCACACCTCTCACACGTTTCGTGGCCCCAATGAAAGCTCCACCGAAGGACCAAATGACGTCTCTCGCTTGCGTCCCCCCGCACCCATGTCGGCATACCCCTACAACCGGATAGACAGGTTTGTGTGCATGTCTACGATTGCCAAACTGCATGTCCCCATCACCCTCATCATCACCACGATATCATCCCGCCCTCCCTCCGTCATCCGCAGGCTTAGCAGGCTTCGCGCGGAGGTCTCGCACGCGCAAGCTCACACTAGACCCGAAAAGGGGTAGGGGAAGGGCTCCCAGAAACGAGCCCGACCTCGGCGCCCCGGAGGCGCCTGGGGGCGCGCCTGCTCGCCCACGCCTCCGTCATCGTGTGCCCGACTCCCCCTGAACCCTCTTCCGAGGTCCTGCCGGCAACCAGCCCCGCGTTCAGGAAGAACTCGCCGCCCGTGGCGCCCCGCTCCGCTGCCAGCGCGCCCATGAACTCCTCCCACAGGCGCCTCACGGGTGGCACGGGAGGAGGAGATTGCACGGCATCTGCAGCAGGCGACAGGGATTAGGAGAAGGAGATGTCACGGGTGACTGGGAGAAGAAGGAGGAAGGGAAGGGAAACTTCACGACACCAGTACATATAGAAAGCCAGCGAATCAAAGCCTCATCTGCACAACTGCTGACTGCTGACACCCCCGGCGAGGCAGTCGGCGCCCGCTTCTTCACACAAGCCACCACAATCTCGGCACCTCCTCCTCCTCCTGCCTTCTTTCTCCCCTGTTTCTGCCTCGCCTCCCCCTCATCCACACAGATGACCGAGATCTCTGCTTCCTCCTTCTCCTCCTCCTCCTTCGCCTCCTCCTCCTCCTGCTTCTCCTCCTCCTCCTCCTTCTCCTCCTCCCTATCATCAGCACCATCATCATCATCATCAGCATCATCATCATCAGCAGCAGCAGCAGCATCAGCATCAGCATCAGCATCAGCATCAGCATCAACATCATCATCAGCATCATCATCAGCGTCATCGTCATCAGCATCAGCATCATCATCATCATCGTCATCATCATCAGCAGCAGCAGAAGCATCAGCATCTTGATCGTCATCATCATCATCACCCTCATCATCAGCAGCAGCAGCATCTTCATCATCACCGTCATCACCGCCATCATCAATATCACCAGCAGTATCATCATCAACAGATTCAGCATTACCATCATCAGCATCATCATCCTCGTCATAATCCTCATCATCAGCATCAACATCATAATCAGCATTATCACCATCACCATCACCATCATCACCACCATTACCATTACCATCACCGTCAGCAGCAGCATCAGCAGCATCATCATGATCATGAGCAACAACATCGGCATACGCATCATCATCTTCACCATCATCCGCAGTAGCAGAATCGTCACCACAATCATGTTCATCATCACCAACATCAGCATCACCAGCCTCATCATCATCATCAGCAGCATCATCATCGTCGTCATCATCATCATCATCCCCATCAGCTTCCTACTCCCCCTCCTCCTACTCATCGTCAACAGCATCATCATCACCATCGTCATCATCATCCCCAGCAGCAGAAGCATACGCGTCATCAGCACTCATCATGGTCATTACCACCAACATCATCATCATCAACAACAACATCGCCACCCGATCAGTATTATCAACATCATCATCACTATTTCACCATCATCACCATCATCAACGTCAGCATCATCACCACCATCAGCATCATCACCCCCGTCAGTATCCTCATCTACATCTTCAGGTTCACCTTCATGAATATCACCGTCATTGATATTACCATCGCCACCACTATCACCATCACCACAATCATCATCCTCATATCCCCGGCATCATCAACATCATCAGCATCATCGTCGTCAGCAGCATCATCATCATCACCAGCAGCATCATCAACATCACCATCATCATCAGCATCATCGTCGTAAGCATCAGCATCCTCATCATCGTCAGCATCAGCACCCTCGGCATCACCATCATCATCATCATCATCATCATCGTCATCATCATCATCATCATCATCATCATCAGTACCACCCATGCTCTTCAGTGGGGGCACTGAAGTTCGTGCGGCTCCTTTGACGTATGTCCCCTTCGTGCGGGCGGGTTGCACTTTCTGGGCAGCAACCTATAGCTCGACTGCTCTCCTGAGAACTGTTTCGGAGGATCCACACACACACACACACACGCTCACGTAAGCCACTAGGTAGATTGCCATCTGAACACCCTCGCAGTCTTTGCTGCCAGGGCGACGCGACGCAGGCCACCACTCCAGTTCGATGTGGCACCGCTGCCGCGGAGAGGCGCCAGAAGGGCCCAGAGCGAACGAGCTTCCTCGTGGGCGCCGAGGTCGCCCCGCCTCCTGCAACCTGGCGGCGCGCACATGGGGGCGAGGCGCGTGGCGCAGGGAGGGCCCGAGCATGGAGCAGGGACCGACCGCCACGGCATCCCCGCGGGCCCACCACGAAAAATGCTCTCAGAATTCAGTCGGGCCTGTCCCTCTGCAGGGGGAATATCTGAAATTGGAAAAAAAATCGTTTGGGGACGATGTTTGTTTTATCATGTTTGATGTTTCATTATGGTTTGACATTTTTCCCTACCTAGGCTCTGCCTAGAAGGGTTCTTACCCTGTGAGCTTAAAGGGCCGGGCAGTGGGGCTCGCCCCGGGCGGTTACCCCGGCATCCGCCCCGCGGTTCCCCCAGTGACATTCCCTTAGCTTAGCGTTGCTTATCTCATCTTAGCTTAGCTTATGCCATCTTAGCTTAGTTTAGTTTCATCTTAGCTCAGGTTTATCTTAGCTTAGCTTACCTTCATCTTAGCTTCGCCGAGCTTTAGCATAGCAGAGCACAGCATAGCATAGCAGAGCGTTGCACAGCATAGCGCAGCACAGCGTATCATAGCATAGCATAGCATAGCATAGCATAGCGCAGCGCAGCATAGCGTAGCATTGCATAGCAGAGCGCAGCACAGCATAGCGTAGCACCGCGCAGCATACCATAGCATAGCGTAGCATTGCATAGCATAGCATAGTATAGCGCAGCATAGCATATCATAGCATAGCCTAGCATAGCATGTCATAGCGCAGCATAGCATGGCATAGCATAGCATAGCATAGCAACTAATGCTGCTTTCCTAGGGGCTCCAACTTCTAGGTAGGGTCGCACTGGGGTAATTTCTTTGTCGTCCAAAACCCCCTGTCGGGGGACACGCCCGACTTAATCTTAGAACAAAAGAACGTCCTGAGAACAAAAACCATGCTCTTAGAGTATTGAGCCGATGCGTGAAAACAAAGCGGCCCAAGCCAAAAGTATTCTGAAAGCATCTCGCGCAAGCCAGAGAAAAGGTTCTTGAAACATGATTTGGTGGTCCGACTGGCGAGCCAGGACGCTCCGCCACTGCTAGGGAGCCCACAAAGGACGTACGCGCCCAGCTATGTACATGAACACGGCCCCTCGATCCGCGAGACCGGCCGCGTTGTGCGCACATTTGCGCAATGCGTACTCTCGAAACCAGCGTGGATTCATGTAGATGTACGTCCTTCTTTCGCTCCTGAACTGCTCGAGGAGGGGGTGCCCGAGAAGGCACCAGGCCCAGGCCTCTCCCCTGTGAGCCCTCCCGCCTTCCAGGCAGCCCTCCTGGAAGCCTCTCCGGGCCCCCCCTATGCGGCAGGCGCCGGGGCCCTCCCAGAGGGCCGCCCCCCTGCGCGCCCAGCAGCCCCCCTCCCGCGCGCCGCCGGCAGAGCGGCCTGCCCAGCCGCTGCAGCTGGAAGGCGGCCAATATTGAAGGGGCCCTGGGACACACAAATAAATACACACACAACAAAATGATTCCCCATATTTTCCCATATTTTTTGAATTCCTGCCTTCCCCCCCACTTCCCACATTTTCCCATATGTTCTGGGGAATCGACGATTAATTGTGTCTGTGTGTTTTTTCCCCTCCTGAAATATGGGGGCGGTGAGGCGCGTGGAGAGGGCGCGCGGGGGCCGGGCCCGCCCCGGTGCGCGGCGGCGGCGGAAGGCGCCGGGCACGCAGCCGCCGAGAGGGGTCGGTCTCAGCCGCCGTGCGGCGGGCACGGCCGCGGCGGCGCGGCCGAGGGGTAGTTCCGGAGGATCCTCAGGCAGGCGACCTCGGGGAGCTACGGACCCGGGCCAATCCAGACCCGGGTCAGTCAGGCCTCGCAGGACCCTGCAAGATCCTGCAGGGTCCTGCAGGGTCCTGCACCCAAGCCCGGGTCGACGCACCCCTGGCTCTGCAGCATCCTGCAGGATCCGGCGCCCTGACTGACCCCCGTTTGCATGGACCCCCGTCTCTTGAGCCCCGGCGACCATCTGCTCCATGCGCGCCGGGGTCTCCTCCACGAGGCAGAGCAGGGGGCCCGTCTCGAAGGACAGCAGCACCAGGCGCTCGAGCTGCGCAGCGGTGAGGGCGGAGCGCACGGCCGGGGGCAGCTGCTGCTCTCGGGCGGCCTCCGCCGAGCCCTGGGCGAGCCTCAGGCGGTCCAGGCGCGCGATGCGCGACGCGATGGGCAAATTTTCCACAACCACTACCACACGCAGGACGGAGGAAAGGGAGGATGAGGAGGTCCTCCGCCTCCTCCTCCTCCTCCTCCTCCTCCTCCTCCTCCTCCTCCTCCTCCTCCTCATCCTCCTACTCCCTCTACTACCTGTGGTAGTGGTGTTTGGAAGATGGGCCCATCAGGACGGGAAGCTCGCCCCGTCCTCGGGGGCCACTCTCAGGCCCCGGAGCTGCCGATCGATCGCGTACCTCGCCGGGTGCAGCACGCCCGTCCCGGCATCGACGACGAGGCAGTCCACGCCGAAGACCGCGCGCTTCGCGAAGCGCTTGACCAGGTCCTCGAGCTGGGCCTTGAGCTTCTGCTTCTCGCCCGGCTGCATCGTCAGGATGTCGTCGCCGCTGACCAGGGGCACGTTCTCCTCGTCGGACCCGAGCTCCGCCTCGACGTCCTGCCCAGAAGGCGCCCCGCAGCAAGACCACATGTGCGCGGCCGCCTTCCGCGCCCGGCGGCAAGCGCCAGAGCCGGAACCGCTGCGGCGTGCACTCTTCCGGTGATGTCGGGAGGCGGGCAGGCTTGTCCCCAACACGTAGCCAGGACGATCAATCCGGATGAGGATAAATCGAGAATCTCTGAGATCAGGCGGCTCTGGAAGAGATTCGGGCGTCGCGGCCTTCTCGGAGCGTTCCGGAAAGCTCTGAAGAAGTCCCGGAACGCTCTGGAACAGACTTGTCCTTGTTCCAGCCCCGCCCGATCACCCACAGCAGGTCACATCCAGGATCTCCGGATCGATCGGACGTGGACAGCGGAGCAGTGACTTCAGGCCCCGCGTGACATCTGTGCGCGCCAACGAAGCACGAGACGAGCAAACTGCCCTACTGGGAGGAGGGGTCTGGACACAACCCCAGATCAGTACTTCCAATAAGTTGTTCAAAGTGATGGGCACGGCGTACG